CAGGTCCTTCCTCTCCGATCCTTTCCCTCCGCCCTCGCGTCTCGCATCTCGACTCGGGAGACTCTCCTCTCGAGTCTCACGACTCTGGCGACACCCATCGCGGCTCTGGCGACACACAACCCAGTCGCACGATCCAGGATTCGCACGACCTGCGTGCAAGCCCAGCACCAGGCAACCAGGCTGCGCGAAACGCGGGAGACACGGAGCGAGGAGAATGCGAGGAAATCAGGAAAAGGAAGGAGGGGGAAGGGTGCGGGGCGAGCATGAAAGACGAGCAGAGAGGCTCAATAAACGCAGGTACGCCCTTGGTGAACGTATCCCACTCGCCACCGCCTCCTTCTCCAATGCCCACACCGGCACACGTATCGACGACTACAGAGGTCGTCGTGCGTGTCGCAGGCCATGAAGACGGCACGTATGCGTTGCGGGACGACCTGAAGGTGGTACCCTCCGCTTCTCGAGGTAGTACGCCCGCGGTATGGGACGACCTCGCGGTCGTACCATCCATTCTACTAGGCGACATGGCGGAGGCGCAGTGTTGCACACCCGACGTGTTCCGTCCATCCTGCACCAACCGTCGTGTAGTGGGCTTGAGCATTGAAGGCGTAGCGATGAACAATGAACTCGTCGCGCGTACTATTGGACACGCGGGCGGCACGCTTGCGATGCGAGACGACCTTGCGGTCGTACCGTCAACATTGCAAGACGACACTGCGGACGCACTGCACTGTACGTCCGAGGTGTTCCATCCAGTCTTCACCAGCCGTCGCGTAGTGGGTACGTCGAGCCGTCCACTCGATGTGCAAACTACCGGCAAGCCACAATGCTCGAAACGCGAAGGTACGTCCATACTGGACGTACCCAACGCCCGGCTGGCTATCTTGCCATTGCCTGAGCCAGCGCGCGCATCAACGAACAGGAAGATCGTTGTTCGTGCTGGTCACGAAGACAGTACATTCATGCTCCGGAACGACCTCCAGGTCGTACCCGAGCATTCGAGTTCCTCATTGCCGATTGTACTCCCAGTGCTCTCGCCAATAGGTGCATCGATGAACGGGCTCATCGTATGCACTGTTAACCACACAGATGACATGCGCCTGTTACGATACGACCTCGCGGTCGTAATCTCCAGATTGCAAGGCGGCATAACGAACGTACAGCACCTCACGCCCGACGTGCTCCATTCCATTGACCACGAAATTCGCACGCACAAGCCCTGGTACAACCTACGGGTGGTACCTGGCGATGGTGCTACGCTGGACGCGCAGAACTGCCCGTCCAGGGTACCCTGTGCTGCCATGAACGCACCCAGAGCCGCAGCGACTGACGGAAGGTCTGTCATGCGCAGTGGGGGCCACGACGATCGCGCGAAGGCGCTCGGAGACGAACTAATGGTCGTTCTTTCCGACCGTCAAGGCGATACGCCTGTGATACGGGACGACCTCGCGGTCGTACTGTTTGTTCCGCAAGGCGACATGACGGACGAGCAGCATTGCTTATCCGACGTGTCCCAGTCACCTGTACACACTACCGGTGAGTATAGAGTGTCGAGAAGAAAAAGTACACCCCCGGCGGACGTACTTACCTCGACATCTGCCATGCCCACGTTAGTGTGCGTAACGGCGAATGTAGAGCCTGTCGTGCGCAATGCCCGCGGCTCGTCGGGCCACCGTCTCTTCATCTCCGCCTTCATGATCAATTGTGATCATGGAGATGACATCACGCTCACATTTCGGGACGACCTTCAGGTCGTACCGGGACCCGTCATTCGCCAAGGCGAAGTCGGGTATGCACAGCGATCTGAGCAGCCCGAGATAGCCGTCGGGTCTGCTCAATGTCACCTGGAGGCACCATCCCAAGGTGCCCCGGCCCAAGCGACGAAGCCATGCATCACCCCGAAGGATGATGCAGGCGCCGAGCTCGAAGACACGTCCGTCATCGAGCTCGCATCCGAGCTGAATGAGTGGCGCGTCGAGTCGACGCATCTCCGCACTCGGGAGGGCATAGGCACACAGTACCACAATAGTACTGTGTACAGCGGGGACGAACCCGTACGTGTAGATACATCCGTCGCGCGCTCAGAGATGAGCCGCGACACAAAAAATGTATTGTTATTATCGGACGACGTGCCCGCCACGACGAGCAGCTTGCTCGACGCGACGCGCGACGCGCTCAACGCTACAGGCGTTGGGTGTCACGAGCCCGTGGCGAGCGACCCGAGCGCTAGCGCCCAACGCACTGCGTCCGACCGCCACCACCGACCCCTCGTTATCGACTACTCCCACTCTCTGGGCAGCCACCTCGAGCGCCCGTCTGGCGAACCAGACGCGCGCACCGTCTCAACGCGAGTGCGAACTCGCGTTCGCGGCTGGCTGGCCGACGTGCCGCCAGTCCAATCAGTGGTGACCGACGACCTGGTACCTCACGGTACCAGATCGCCAACTCCTTCCTCCCCAGCTCCTCACCTCGCCCTTCTGGTCCCGCGCCTCGACTTGGGAGGTCCTATCCTCGAGTCCGATGACTCTGGCGACCGTCACCGCGGCTCTGGCGACATGCAACCCAGCCGCACGACCCAGGACTTGAACGACGCGCGTTCAAGTCCAGCGCCGAGCAGCAATACTGAGCGGACCACGAAGACCGCGGAGCGAGCAGAACGGAAGGGGGACAGAGAGAAGAGGAATAGCGAGGATAAGGAAGGAATGCAGGGACAGAGGGAGGAAGGGTGCGGGGCGAGCAGGAAGCACGAGCAGGAAGGCTCGCGACTTGCAGGTACGCCCTCACTGGACGTATCCGACTCGCCTCCGCATTTGCCAGTGCCCGCGCCAGCGAACACAGCATTAGGGGACGACCCGTGGGTCGTACCCTTGTCGGTGCACGGCAGCACGACGAACACGCGGCCCCGCACGTTCGACGCACCCCGTTCGAATGTGAATGACTACCGAGTAGCGGGCACGCCGAGCTACCCGCCCGACGCGCAGACTACCGACCAGCGAAAAGGGTCGAGAAGTGAAGGAACGTCCTTGGTGGACGTATCTTCCTCAACACTCCCCATGCCCGTGCCCGTATCTGCAAGCGTAGCGACGAACGTGAAGTCCGTCGCGCGCGTTACTGACGATGAAGACGGCTCGCCCGTGGTACGGGACGACCTATCGGTCGTACCGTCCACTTCACAAGGCGACACGGCGGACCTGCAGTACCGCACGTCCGACGTGTCTCGCCACTCCACGGCCGAGCGTGGAGTAGTGGGTACGCCCCAGATGGACGTACCCGCATCGATGCCTCCTCTTTTGCCTACGCCTACGCCCGCCCCAGCAAGCATAATGACGAACGTGGAGTCCGTCCATTGCGTTGCTGAGCAGAAAGGCGACAGTACGCCCAGGATACGGGACGACCTCGCGGTCGTACCTTACATGTTGCAACAAGGCGACACGACGGACTCGCAGCGATGCATGTCCGACGTGTCCCGCCCAACCTTGATTGCCTGCGCGGCGCTCACTGACCTCTCGTCGAGCGGTTGCAGCGTGCGATCAGCTACGTCTCAACAGGAACTGCACGTCCTCACGGAAGTGCAGGCCTCCGAACGTATCACGGCTGAACATCCGTTGGTTCAACTGGCCGAATCATGGGACGACCTCGACCTCGGCTTCTTCAGCGACCATCACTATCCCCGAGACACGGACGATCCCGCAACTGCGCAGCTCGACGCTCGCGTAGCCCTAACGGATGCGCGAGCCCAAGATTGTGACCGGGTTGCTGCACTCGCGGTGGTGCAGTGGCCGGCGCTTACGGACCCCGACCGACTAGAACGGCGGTCCGACCGTCAACCCGGCGAGAACTTTACAGTTCTCGTCGAGGGTCCAACCCTAAGGACCCATTTTCTACCCCTATCGACCTCCCCGTGGTCCTCGACGCCGACAGCGAGCACGACACTCACCACGAGTCGGAGATCGAGCGCGAACTCCGGAGATCGCGTGAAGGACGTAAGGTCCAGGACGGGGATGGGGGGGACTGGGTCGAGGGTGCGTAAGCAGGAGAGTCAGACGAGAAATGTCAGACAGAAGGAGGAGAGGGGGAAGGGTGCGGTGTAAGCGAAGCGGATGAGCACGCGAGCTCGAGAAGCAAAGGTACGTCCTTATTGGACGTACCCTCTTCACTCGTACCACCACTCTCCACCCTGCTATCACCACCCGTGATGGCCACGACAACCGCATTGGTTGTCGTGGCAGTCATCCCGTACGACGGTGGTATGGATGGCCCACGAAACGACATACAGACCGCGCCCGGCACGAATATGCCGTGGGGTACAACTGGCGAGCAAGTCGGATCTTTTGGCCGATGTCTACTCCGAGGAGCCTGGCGGCGACTCGGACAGCAAGTACCTCGCGGTACTCGTCCCACCATCATTGCCCCACAGTCCGATACCACCACCAATGACGCCCAGCCACATTGATCGTGCATCGGATTCATGGGGCGCAGAGATCGAGCTTCATGCTTGACGTACATGTTGCTGAGCTCGCTGGCAAGTTGTCCGCGATGTGTCAGGAGAACTTCACAGTTCTCCGACCTTGCTAACTGTATTATCATCAGCATTACCTTGTTGCTGACATTCTCATGTCGCCATCATGAATTTGGCTTGCATAACTCCATTGAGTTATGTATGACAATAGTGGACGGCCGTGCTGCTCACTGACGCGAACTAGTATGTTGTTGTCTACAGTACGGCACCACTGTTGTATTGCCAGTTGCTACCACCGTTGGGTTGTCGCGTGTTTTATTCCTTTCTTTCCTCTTTCCTCTTAGTTTCTCTGGTTATCTCTGGGACCCGTGGTCGTGTCCAGTGGGGGAGGGTGTAACGGATATTCCCGTTACGGTATATCTTATCTCGTATGATTGTTCTTGTTTGTTCGAGGGCTCGTATGGCGCGCCAGCGCACCTACGAGACCTCAGTCCTTTACCATCCTCATCGCCCCATGTATGCTACGTGTAGACAGTCCCTCTGAATAGAGACTGGGTACAGCGCATACCGGGCCCGAGGATTAAGGGACGCCACACGCAAGCTTGTCCACCCATTTGCCCTCTTGCATGCTCGCCTGTTCGCCCGCTCGCCCACCTGCCGTCTGTAACGCCGCCGCCTGGTCAGAGTCGCCCCCTCTTGCATACTTGCTCTCACATCCGACTCTGTCCGCCCTCCTGTATGTCTGCCAAAGGGGGCCTGTTCTCTCGCCTGCCTTACCTCGCCCGCATACTCTCTCGTGTTTTCAGCCTTCTACCCTCTTGCGTGCTCACTCTCTCGGCTTCTTGTTCCCTCACTGTCTCGCTCTCGCGCGTCCTCTCGACCTCACTCTCGAGCATTGTCTTAATGGCTTGATCCTTCATGCACTTATCCTCTCGCCCGCCCGTGTGCTCGCCCATCTATGGTTTGACATGCTCATTCGGTGGCTCGTCGGCTCTCTGGCTCACCCACTGGCTCTCGCCTGGCCGCCTCCTCTCACTGCTCTCACATGCCTGTATATTATCGCTCTGTCACATGCTCCTACATCATCTCGCCTGCGCACCCTCTCGCCCGCGCACCCTCACCTGCGCAACCTCTCGCCCGCGTCACCTCTCGCTCGCACACCCTCTCGCTCGCACACCCTCTCGCTCGCACACCCTCTTGCCCAGGCCCCTCTTGCTCGTACATTCGCTCGCTAGTCCATCAAGCCGTCCACCCACTCTTGTCCGTGCTTCTTCGCTATGCTTTCTCTTGCTGGCGCTCTCACGCGCCCACTCGCCTGTCCACTCATTCGGCGCCCATTTGTCCCACCCCCACTCTTGCCGATGCTCCGGCAATCCCCTCCACCCACGCAAGACTCTTACCCGCTCTGGCGGGCCTGTATACAGGTGGGTATGGGTACAATAGGGATTGATCTTGGTATATCACGAGTACGAATTACGCTGGGTGTATTGTATTGGATCGCCGACAGTAGATTATAATGCATCTCATGTTTTCTCGTACCTATGCGTCTGTGCAGAATGTGCTGCGAACATCAAGAATAAAGACAATGATTCATATAATAGTGAGGAACCCTGCCCCTAACACGACTGTATTCGGCACAATATCCTGTTATTCGTAGGTCGACCTCCGGACCATAGCGAATAAAGCACTACTACAGCGAACAAGAGAATGGCCACAATTACTCATTTTTCGCAGTAATAATACATCATTCGTTGTTATTCCGAAAGTAGGGTTTTCCTGATGTGCCGCAGCGTAATTTGGCTTCTTCGCGTCCCATGTTCGCTGGAGCAACCCCTTATGTTTTGCGAGGGAGGTGTGGTCGGTAATGGCATTCCCAAAGTGGACGCGCATGAGCATGTGAGTCGCATTCAGCGCAAAATGCCAGAGCGCGCTGATTTCCTCCACGTATTCCAGCCGTTCCATCGCATTCACATCATCAACACGTTCCCGCCGGGCGGCGCGCATGTTGGACGCGGTAAGCCAATCGCCTTGTATGATCCTCGGATCTGACGACCACTCCTCCTGCGGCACCATCGATTTCTCCTGGATTTCCTTCAATGCTGCTATGACACCCTTCTTTGAACCCGAGTTTACGTCAATCACTCCGAGAGGACGGGTGTCCGTCACCTCGACTGGTAGTGGGCGGTCCTTTGGTATGGTGCCCTCGATCGCCTGCAGCATCGTACGACGGCCTTTCCATTTGTTGCTTCCAGGGAAATATCGAACCAACATCTCTGCGACCAGCCCCTCGAACGCCGCATTCATGTGTTCACTGTCTTCGGTTGTTGGGCGGATGTCACTGAATGTCGCCTTCATCCGATTACCCCGCAGGTCAAGCTTTGCCTGTGCATCTGTGGGACCGAGCCTTGGACCTCCAATTGCGATGACTGCGACATTTGTTGCATGAATCATCGCGTTACGGTTGGTGATCCTTTCCTGGAATTTTCGGAGGTAAATGTCGATATTATCAAGGATGATGCAGAACATGGTGTCGCCCTTGAGTAGCTCGATGGCATGCTCGGATGCGTCACGGGATATCTGCTCCTTCAAGCGTTCGATTGTCGTGATTGATACTGACAGCCCTATGTTGCTCAGGAGCGATAGCACTCGAGAGCTTGTCCCGGAGATGCCGAGGAATAATCCGAGAGGCAATGCAAGTACGTTTGTGGCACGATTCCGAACAAATCCAAGCATCGTGATTGCCACTGTCACTGCCTACGAAACACAGTGAGTCCCTTCATTTGAATCATCAATGGAAGCATCTTACAAAACATGGATTCCGCAGAAATCCCGGGTATTCCTTCCGCCACTGGGTGCTGAACCGTGGATCTCCATCTGCGGCTTCCTCATCTGCAAGATCGGACTCCTCCCACTCGCCTTCACTCTCCCATCCATCTTCATCGGTGCCCCCTCCAACTCCCGTACCATCTGGCCCCGCTGCTGCTGCACTGGCAGCTTCCCTCTGCTGCCGCAGGCGATAGGTATTCGGTGCTGCCGCAAACTCGTGCAGAAGATCGAACGTGAACGGCGCGAGCTCCCGCAGCCGCGCGGCGATCCTCCCGGGCTGTAGAAGCGCACGCACACCATCGACGGTGAGTGCACCCAATTTGATTTGAAGTTCTTTGTCTTCGATAATGCGATCACTCTCCGCCAGTACGATGTCTTCCGCGTGTGGCTGAATGATTAGCTGATCTAGGTGGACTTTCGACTTCGGCCAATGGTCGCGCCAGAGTTTGAAGAGCCCCAGTGGGCGGAAGCGATCCTCGGGCTGCTCTGAGGATGCATGGTAGCCCATGAACAGCCCAGCACGGATTCGGATAGGTTGGGCATTGCAGGTGAAGAGGAACATCAACAGCCGATGAATTGGTATGTTAAGGAACACCAGCAAGGAGCCCAGCATATGCAGCCGGTCACTTTCGGATGCGTCCTGTGTATCTGCATCGAGGATGGTCTGCCAGTAAGCATTGTCGAATTCCGGTGAATGGGCCATTGATAATCATTAGATTCTCAAATTTTCGGACATGGCGTGCATGCGCGGTCCATTGCGAACATTCCGTGCACCTTCGCGGAAGCAAATCCAACCCGCCTAATTAGGCAGAGCTGGGCAGGGGCGCGGTGGAGCGCGAGCGCGATGCGCGGTGGCGCGAGCCTCGCGTTTGTCACATCCCCGACGCGCTCGGTCACGTCACGGCCCCTTCACAATGTTTCTGTCTTCCGCTCACGAACACAACTGTCCGAAGGCCTCGGATGATGTTACTTTATTAGTGAATGATGCTATCTATTATCGGACACTCATTCCGGCGTACATACATGCTTTTATGTGAATATTCAGTAGTAACATGTCAATGTAGACTCCCCGACTTCATCGCGCCAGTATCTCAACGTATTCGAACTTCGGTACCCCAGGAATTTTATATAGCATTCGAGGCATCTCAGCTACAACTTTCTCACCAACAGTGAGGGTATTCGCGCGATGTGTGATACAGTACACTACGTCGAACAACCCCATCTGTGGCGCGGACTTTGAAGCAAGCCCCTCTCCGAGAGGCCGGCGTGGCGGCCCGGAGAGGTGGCTTGCGCCGAACCTAGCATCGTTCGGGGTCTGCGAGCAAGGTGGCGCCCGCCCAGTCGATCGATCAAAAGCGCCGCGGCGCATGGTCACCCGGCGGCTCTGTCGTGCTTGGCTTGCAACATTGACCTCTAGATCTGCTAATGCGGTTTCTTGTACATACTCTTGGTGGGCCCTGTTCATCTTGAGGCTGGTTGATCAAACGACGCTGGTGTCACGAATGGAGTGTGCATCATATCGGGGTCCATCGCATCCCGATTCTGCGGTGCGCTTTCCCGACGGGAGGATCCTATTGTTCATTCCATATTCATCGCCCACACGAGGTGCAATCCAATGGCCCCGCGGGGATCATTCCGGACTTGCCGTTCGTCGATTGTGCCGCTCAACGACCCTCACCCACGGACGTATTCTTAGATCATCATACCATGTGCCCGACGACCTATAAGCATGCGTGCACGCATGCCCTTCCGCCCACACACACCCAGACCACCCACTCGTCGCCTTCACTCCTTCAGCACCTGCGCGTAGCAGCATGCTCGGGACAGGCGTCCTCGTCTCCCTCTTCTCGCTCGCCTTGGCGACGCCCACGCCGCGCACGATGCGCGTCCACACCCGCCGGGACAGCGCCCCCGTAGGATTCGCCCTCGCAGGCGCGGCAGCCCCGGATACGACGATCAAGCTCCGGATCGCGCTCGCACAGAGCAACCCAGCTGGATTGGAGGATGCGCTGTACGATGTCAGCACGCCATCGAGCGAGCGTTACGGGCAGTATTTGACTCGGGACGAGGTGCGTATTTATGGAGTACTTGTCCCATGATCACCCTCATATCTACTCGTTCCCCAGGCCGCTGCCTTTGTGGCGCCTAGCGAGGAGACTACCTCAGCTGTGAATGCATGGCTCACGGAGCACGATGTCAGCGCCACACCCCTCACGCCAGCGGGCGACTGGATCGGCTTCACGGTGCCCGTGAGCAAGGCGAATGAGATGTTCGCCGCAGACTATAGCGTCTACACGCACGCGGAATCGGGGCAGTCCACTATTCGGACACTGTCCTACTCGGTCCCGACGGAGCTGACAGAGCACCTCAAGGTGCTCTACCCTTCCACCACGTACGTCTCTCGCTCCAGGCTCGCATCAAGTGATATCGAGGGATACTATATGTAGATTCCCCAAGACCCAGCAGAAGCTGCAGGTCGTAAAAGCCCCCGTGTCCGTCGTCCCTCAGACGACGCAGGGTGCAGAGAACGCCGCCGTGAACGCTTCGTGCGCGAGCGTGATCACTCCATCATGTCTCCAGCAGATCTACGGCGTACCCTCGACCCCTGCCACGCAGTCGTCGAATCAGCTCGCGGTGGCGGGCTACGATGACCAGTGGGCAAACACTGCGGATCTCAGTGTACGTCCCCATGAACGATTCGTCCCCATCTCAGAGCTAAACAGCTGCTCATTCAGAGGTTCCTGGCGACCTACCGCCCGGACATGAGCGCGAACACGTCGTTCACACTAGAGACCCTAGATGACGGAACGAACAACCAGGACGAGGCAGACGCCGGGGTAGAGGCGAACCTGGACATCCAGTACACCGTCGGAGTCGCGACGGACGTGCCGGTGGTGTTCATCTCCGCGGGCGAGGACAACCAGGACGGCGACCTCGGCGGATTCCTCGACATGACCGACCTGCTGCTCAACCAGACGAGCCCGCCACAGGTGTGGACGACGAGCTACGGGCCGAACGAGGACGACGTACCTGAGGACCTCGCCTAGTGCGTATCCCGCGACTCCAGTTCCTAGTTGTACGCTGAGTGCGCGACCGTACAGCAATCTGTGCAACGCGTACGCGCAGCTCGGCGCTCGTGGCGTCTCGATCCTCTTCGCGACCGGCGACGGGGGTGTGTCGGGCACGCAGTCGTCCGAGTGCACGACGTTCGTGGTGCCCTTCCCCGACGGCTGCCCGTACATGACGAACGTCGGGTCCACGACCGGTTACGCGCCCGAGATCGGGGCGTACTTCTCCGCGGGCGGGTTCAGCAACTACTGGGCACGGCCGTCGTACCAGGCGGACGCCGTCGACGCGTACCTCGCGGGCCTCGGCGACACGTACGCGGGGCTGTACAACGCGAGCGGGCGCGCGTTCCCGGACGTCGCGACGCAGGGGATCAACTACAGCGTGGTGATCGACCAGGAGTTCTACCTCGTCGACGGGACGAGCTGCTCGAGCCCGATGTTCGCGAGCGTGGTTAGTCTGATTAACGATGAGCTGATCAGTAACGGGAAGCCTGTGCTGGGCTTCTTGAACCCGTGGCTGTACTCGACGGCTGCGAGCGCGTTCAATGATATCACGGAGGGCGATAACCCTGGATGTGGGACGAATGGATTCAACGCTACGGTGGGCTGGGATCCGGTGGGTGCCTTCATTCGTACGTGTAATCGCCGAAGTTGATGGCTCATGCATGAATAGGTGACGGGCCTTGGCTCGCCAGACTACGCGAAGCTGAGGATCGCGGCGGGGTTGAGCTGATGTGTGGAACGTGGACTGAATGGTTACATGTTGTCGATCTTTACGTGCTGTCGTTGACCTTCTAGCATTGCTTTGCACGTCTCGGCGCGGGTCTCCCGTTAGAACGAGCTTTTGTACCCGTGGCCGTTCTTCCTTGAACATGGTAGGTGATTGATGCAGCGTCGTTGATCATGTTGAGACCAGCCTGGTATTCATTGACGTCATGGCCTTGCGGGGTACGTCGCGGCTGTTGCCCATGCTTGGCGCGAGTCTTCATGGTACGGGCATGGAAACGCAACGCTCAGACCCTTCTCGTCAGGTTAGTCTATACTTTGACTGCGATGGGTGAATTCTTCCATAGGCATTGACGCTCTACTGCTGCTCGATGATACGAATGGCGCTGTAGCGTGAGGGGACCTTCCGGGCTGTATCTGTGATATGAGTACCCTGTGCACTGGAATTGGAAGACGCAATAGTGGTAGCTAGCTTAGCGTCCTGGCGGAATACCGACTGCATACACATGGCCTTCTGATCTCAGCACGGCACGGTTACGGATGTGATTACCTCGTGAGGTACATATCTCTGTCAAAGTGCGGCCTGTCCGAGTCTGCGCGCGCGTATGCATGTTGTTCGGACCATGCCAGACAGCGCACGATACTGTACATCTTCTACTTCGAGAGCGCCTCGCGTTGGCTCGGCGTGTACGTTGCTGTTTGCATGTGTTTCAGGTCTGTGTCTTTCCAATCATCAGCCTGCTGGTCCCTTGTACGTTCAAGATATACATATTAGGAAGTGTACTTGCCACTTCAGGAAATCCCAGTGAGATCACGCAATGACGATTTGCACGGGTGCACAATCGGCTTCGACAACACAAATGCGCGCATGCGGGAATTCACCTGCGCATAAACATCAGCCTTTGTGCACTCCTTGCTCGAGGCAGCCGTGTATGTTGTCCTCCATCCTCCCTATCCCCCGCTACTTGCTGATGATATGGCAACGATCGCTATCCAACCAGTCGCATCTGAGTCGCATTCTGTCGACACAGTGCTCGCAACAGCGGTCCTCCTGCACCGCGCAAAAGAGGCCTCACCGTGATTCGAACACGGGACCACACGATAGTGTACCACTGCTGCAATCGTATGCTCTGAACCGCTGAGCTATAAGGCCACTACCTTTTTGGCAGCGCCAGTACGCTGTGACTCACCACTGGATTCCATGCAACAGGCGCCCATCTCTGGCGCTTGAGGTAGGCGGTTGTCAATGTCTGCTGCCTCGAGTCGCGTTCCCGAGCCTGGGTCGAATTTGAAGACTACTCGGACGTCCTTGCATCCTTCCCCTCCCTCCTTCTGAGCCCATTGCCCCCGCGCTCAGTACGACTCGCATCTCGTCACTGGTCAACGCGTACTACTCTCTCGCACACGGAAGGCTTTCAAATCATAATCCGAGTCTCTATCCCGAGTCTGAATGTCTGCAGGCATAGTTGGGGACAGGCCTACCGGAAGTCAAAACGTGAACATCAACGGACATGCCCAGGTAGCCTCAGCGCCCGCCGGGAACCTTGGAGGACGCGTCTCAGTCGATCATGGCATGCCATCCGCACCCGAGGTCCATCTGAACGGGCGACCCGCCTCTAGCATGTCGCGGAGAAGTAAGTCGCTATCTGGCAGCGTCGGGGGCAGCGCAGTTGCAGGAGAGGAGTGGGGAGCAAACTTTTGGGTGACGCTATCCGATCCGCAGGTGCGTCGTAAGTCAGAGTTGTCACCGCATGCCAGGCTGACATTGGATGCAGACCCAGGTGTCCTTCTACGCGTGCCCTGCGACCGGAGAGGTTAGTTGGGATCCTCCGATCGGGAATTTTCTGTAAGTCGTCGCCGCGATGTACTCGACGCTGCCGTCAATCGTATCCCAGGTTACCTGCCAACC